CTGAGAATGTGCATAGATTTGTGTTCATGAGTGTGCTACCAATAATTTTATAGCAAGCCAAAGAACTCTGGTAAGATTTGGGCAACTTGACTGAACATTGGTTTAAGTCAGGTTGTTATCATAAACTTCTATCACTCAAATGACAAAGTTTCCCTTTGTTCTTGATAATTTTGTCATTTCATCTTTTCCAGATATTTATGAGAGATCCTGCTGTCAACACTGAAAAAAAGAAGAAGATGGAGACTGGTCACTAAAACAAGTCAATTAATGGTTAGCGGAGCAGCGTTGTGGCCCCCAGAAGAGAAATATGGAAAGACTTGAAATTGGAAACACTTTGACCCTTCTCTTTAAGTACCAATAATGTGCCCTTTAGCAAGGCATTGTATTGCTGCTCAGTGATCGCCAATAGATGACTGCAATCGTGCTGGGAAGCTACCCGTGTTGAACTATATTATGGGTGTGGCTGGAAAACAGCGTCAGCGTCACATCTGGTGACTTTTAAACTGATCTTAACTAAAGCACCACATCTGAGCTTATTATGCAAATTGTGTTATTTTTGACTTGGACAAAAAAAAAGTGATGATATGTTTATTAGTTTGTACTGAACTTTCTGGTCTTAGAATGATTAAACATTAGTCATTCATATATTGAAAATATTGGATTGTGGAATTGTGATCACATTTTTGTAAAAGCACTTATACTCCAGTCACTGTGAAAAAAAAGGGAATAAACGTGTTACTTTCAAGTGTACCGTGAACTATAGGTTTCAGAGACTATAGTTTTGTTTTGCAAAAGCAATTTAGTTTTGATACGCTGTAGAATGTTCTGAAAAGGAAATCGTGCAGTAGGGCTGTAGTAGCAAGATTACCTAAATCCCATTTCTGATACAGGTAATTTCACATCCAGATAACGATACTTACCACAGTAGAGCACATTCTCTGTAAATTAATAGTTTATATAAAATGACATGGACTCATCAAATAAAGGTGCTTACCCATATTATTTTTGTCCTTAGAACCTTTTGTGGAACTTTTCAGTCAAGCATGTAACAAAATGGAAAACGTCACCAATTAGTTTGTATAGTTGTGTACCGTTCATTATTGCCGTTGCCATGAGGTTTCTTTGAAGCCAGCAGTGGTGACGTACTGCGAGTTCAGTTGTCGACTTGTCCGCAGCAGGAAACGGTGTCTGGTCAGTAACAGAATCTAGATTCATATTTGATCAGCACTGCCTAGTTTCACAGTTTTATCCGAGTTTGTTGCGTTGATCTGGACGGACTCACTGAGAGTGACTTGTCAATCACAAGGTAGCCCTGCCCTAAAAAAGCAAAGCAACATCCAAATGGCAAAGAATCTTTCCAAAAGAGAGTGCTTTCCGACATAACAAAATAAATGATAGAGCATGAAAACGCGTTTTTCTTTTGTCACGCGACTTTATTACGATTATATTGTCATATTACACAGCCCTGTCGTGCAGTAGTATCTAGAACAGATAATAAAAGTACTTAACATTACAGCTCAATAATAAGGCAAATAGAGTGTTAATATTGTAGGAACAGTGTAAGACCATGGTAATTATATACAAATATAATAACCAGCTAATATCTTGATAATAATTAGCGGTAATATTGTGATACATTTTTCAGAATGGGGCAAAAATGGGTAATATTGGGTATCAAAAGGTGGAATAAGGGGGGAGTCTGCTATACTGAAAAAGAAGGAAATTGGTAATAATAGGGGATAATAATATGGTAATATCCTAATGTCATCTTTTTGGTTTGAGATTCAATATATACGTTAAAAGGAAATATGTCATTCTTCGACTTTATGCTGACAAGTCAGAATGTGATGAAAATATAATGAATTAGTTTTCAGTTTTGTAATTGTACGAGAGGTCCATGGTTGATGTGAGGAGAGGGTGTCTGCTGATCCTCTCTGACTGGCAGGGTGTGACACCTCTGTTTACCAGGGGTGGATTTGTTAACTGTGGCAGTGTCATACATCCTGGTCACATGATTACCAGTGTACAGTACGTGCACGCACACACACAAACACACACATATTAGGTAAACAGCGCTGCCTCTGCATCTGTGGTGGATCTAGAAGGGGGTAGCATGACATGCTAAAAAAAGTGCCTGGCCACCCCAGTTTGGTGTCAAATTGAAGACATTAATTCAGATTAGTTTTTACTATAACGTGTTATTAGACAGAAATTAACACATAATGATCTGTTATGGCCACATTTTAGACATTTTGGTGATAAATATAAAAATGGCATTTGGAAATAAAACAACTTGTTGATTTCTAATGCCACCTTTAGATGTCTCTAGTCAATGTTTTACTAGTTTTCCACAATAATGTCATTTTTTTGAGTTCTAATAGCTGAATTTGGGGACTTTTCCAAGCAAATTTTGATATATGTGATTGCTTATGCCACCCTCTGGCCACCCCATGCATATTTCTCTGCCTTCCATAGGTGATCTAAAGCAGGCAGATGACAGCTAATTAAAACTATGTTTATTGTTAATATTAACTTGAGGAGGTTTTCTGACTAGTTTCACAGAATCACTGGATAATTGGACAGGCAATTAAAAAAAATAACAATGCTTCTAATAATAACACAAGCAATATACTGCTATGACTAAAAATATTCAGATTACTGCTAATACTGCTTTAATATTATGGCAGCGACCTACTAATACCATACCATTAGTGCTACAACTGCTACCAGTCTAATCTGGAAAAAAAAAAAAACTATCAAATTAGTTAAAAGAATAAAGTGATTTTAGTGTGCTATGTTTGGAGACTGTTGAACTTTCCAGCAGGTAATTAAGGAAGAATCAATAAGGAGCTGGCTGTGCATCAGCCACATGCTCCCTCTGCTTTATAAGTCTGTCCTCTGAACAAACAGTGCAACCACCAATCACTTGTTCAGGCAACTTTTCAGCACCTCACCTTGACGTTTAGCTTTGCCTCTACCTGAGCCGACACATGCAGACGGGATGCAGCAGTGCGTGTCCAGCTGCCCGAACTAAAGAGTGACGCTGACTTCTGACTGCAGTAATGGAGCCCAAACCAAGGTAGGAGACCAGCTCTGCCCTTTGAATACAGCAGTGGTGTCTGCTGTTGAGTCGACAGGCTCATTTTGTCTTTTACTGTGGTTGAATTTTTAAAAACCTGAACTGAATGTACGAAAAGTCTGTGTTCACACATGTAGTTCAGTCTCCCTGATCCAAACCAAAGGAGATCCAGAGGCTTTCAAAAGATCAAATGATAGATAAAAGCAAAGTGTCAAAAAAACAGCCTTCTCATTCATTTCAGAGCGCTGCGTTGGCACAGTGCAGGCTCTGCAGAGAAGTTGCAGGTTAATCCAGCAAAACAAATGAACTTGACTTCTGCTGCAACCAAATGCATTGTCATCCAGCAATGCACTACATTGCCCAATCATGTATGTGCGTGTGCACATTTCTGGTTTACCTTTATGGCTGCAAGAACTGGCACCATAACTTTTATAACATATTGTGATTCACAATTATGTGGGAATGATCATTTTTGCATCACAAATTGATTTTTCATTAAAAAAAACTAAAAACTAACACACATTGTGACATATTTTATGGCTTTATCACAACATTTCAGCTCTTGCTATTTGCATATTACACTTGGCCATAATGCGATTTCGATAATATTTCAATTAATTGTGCAGCCCTATTTACCTTATGGCTATCAAAACAGAGAATTGAATGATTGCCATCATGGTAACTTTCCAGAGCTGTAAATGAATCTAGTGAAATGTTATTATTATTGACTCTTTTACTGTTATAGTTGGTTGAGGTTTAACTGAATGTGCTGATTATTTTCTCCATTAATCCATTGGTTGTTTCGATTATAGAAATTCTGAAAATGATGAGAAAGTCCCGCCCCTTTCTGTTGGGCTCCACAGTTGAGCAAGGCTCAGTGAACTTCCTCCTTTCCTGTACTAAGATAGGCTGTGCTGGGAAAGACTCCAGCTCTATGTTGCTCCGTGTTAAATGTTTAGTTATTCCTCTGCCTCCTTTGGTGATAATGGTACATCTAATAAATGTTGTTTATTCTCCATGCTGGATGCAAGCTTTGAATTGAAAGCACAGCTCTGCACCATTGAAGCTAAATGGTTAGCAGCAGCACCCAGTAGTCAGTTTCGCTCTTGTTATGGTGCTGTTGAATTAATTCTAGTATAAAATCTCTCTGCGGCTCTGTCATGCAGTAACACCAGCCGCACACAAAGAAAATGACTATAAGCATCAGGCCATTTAGTTCTGCTAACTATGCCAAACACATTCAGCCATATTCCTCTAACTTTATAGTCCTCATGAAACAGAAAGCTTCTGCAGAGTTACATGGGCAGCTAGTGAGGGGCTCATCATGGACAATGATTGGCTGAGTGTGTGTTATGCCCTTACTGCTTTGCAGCTAGCGCTATGAGCTAGCGTCAGCGTCCACCTTCTAGTGAACACAGCTGGACCTGGGACCGAACACACTCTCTGAGACTGACGGTGCCAGTTTGCCAGGTTTGGCTCCTGGCATCTCGGGGCCGAGTCAGTTAGGTTAGCTTCACAGCTGACTGGCAGTTGGCGGTCTGTTACTTAGCAACCTTTGCATAAGGACACTCTGTAAATGACCTAGGTCCAGCTGCAGAGCCACATTCTCTTGCCCTCTAACAGCAGATGCAGTTAGCAGCAGTTCATTAGCGGTTGCTGAGTTAAACATTCTGGCTGTGATGGCAGCAGTACCTTGGGTGACATGGGAAAAGCTCTTAAATGGAGCAAGGAGGGCAAGTCCCATTACCCATAACCACAAACACATAGACAAGATGAGCCGCTGGAACCACAGCAAGTTAAACATGGAGCGAAATGAGATCAAATATATTTTCTTTACAAAAGGGGGAAGGAGCTGAGCTGGACAGACAGGTTTATCCCACAAGTGCAGAGATATTTAAGGCTGAGACTGGATCAAGTTTATTTATTTGGGTATGAGGAGGCAGCGTGGAGCGTGAGGACGCTGTTCGTGAGCTGAAGGATGTTTCCATAAGTCTTTATTTGCAGTGCAGTTATGTCACATGACAAAGGCACTTCTAGTGAAGGAAGGGCTGTAATGATAGCATCTGGTATTATTCAGCTTTGTCCAAGAGATTAACAATGTTTTAGCAGAGTAATAAAGCCTCTGATCTCCTCAAGCATTCAGAGGGCAGGGAAGCATCCCGATGAGAGTTGAGTGAAACCTTCTTAGTGACTGTTAGTAGAAAAAGAAAACTTCTCTGGACTTCAGCAGAATGGATAACTCAGGAAGTCCTGCATCCCAGCATCGGTGAGCAGATTCGGTTTACAGTATTTTTATTATCAAGAAAATATCAGTATTCTTCAAATTATGTACATTTTGTATGGATAGGGTCAGAAATTCTTTAGTGGGACCTTTTTTTTTATTTCCACAACTTACGCAAGTATAAAAAAAAGTCACATGATCAGGGATTATGGAAAATATTTGAAAAAACTGTGTTAATACTTTATAAAAAATGCTTCAAATCATAAACTTAAGTAATGCTTAACGAACACATGACTCATGATGATTTAATGCTTGAATTAATGCAGAATCTGAACTCAAGATACTTACTGCGAACATTCATAGACATTTATTACTGTCGTATTATTCAAATGTCTGATTTTATTATTGCAAATAATGGTAAAATAAAGAGTGCAAGTGAGGGAAAGAAAATAGAAAAAACTGAAGATAGTTTCTCTATGAGGCTAATGTATAAAAATGTATGCTGGCTGATGGTTAATAGCCAGGTGCTCTTCTTCATTTTTGCTGAAAGTTGATTCTAATGAAGCTCCAGCAGCAAAGCAACTTTGTGTTGACTAGTTTCTTTTTCTGTTGGCACATTGTATACTAGTGAAGTGAGATAATAGCTTAGAGTGGTGAAATGTAACTAAGTACATTTACTAAAGTACTGCACTCAAGGTCCAGTGTGTAACATTTAGGAGGATCTATTGGCAGAAATGGAATATAATATTCATAGGTATGTTTTCATTAGGTTTTTCGCAAGTTTCACGGCCACTGTAGTTTCTCCTACACTGAATGGTGTTTGGTTATTTGCAATCTGTAACTTCACCACTAGATGCCACTAAATCCTTCACACTGGTCCTTGAAGCACAAATGTAAGGTACTTGTACTTTTTTCAAGCCACTTTCTACTTCTTCTCCAACATGTCAGAGGAAAATATTTAATATTTATTTGACTTTTTACTCTGACAACAATTTTTTGCACAAAAAATGTAAATGTCTGAGTACAGGTGGCTAAAACTACTGTGTTCATTAACCAATTAACATAAAAAGAATTGGCATCTCTTTTGATAATCGTTTATGCTTTCATGCTGAAACAGATTAGTCAGGGTTAGGGTTAGTATAAGGGCACTTTTATGTTTTAAATACCATGGGGCAATCCAAGAGGGCACGTTTGGCCTGTGTCCACCAGTGGTTGGACAAAACAAACATCATGAAGGTGGTTCTGGGTAATTGTGATGGCATTTCTCATTATTCTCTGATGTTTATAACTGAACAGTCGATTAATGGAGAAAACAATCAGCAGGTTTACAGTTCTGTAAAATGATTTAAATGGCACACACTACAGAAGATTGCAGGGTACTCCAGAACCTCAGCACTAGCACTAGTGCACTACTTAGCTTTCTGTTCTGACAATTAAATCGCAGTATAAATATGTGAAGAAAATTGTGATCGTGATATTCTTTTTAGGTTAGTGGCTGTATAAAGGCACTTACAAAGAAAAGAAAATATTTATTGTTTTGCAGTTTATACCCTACATCAGAGAGAACATATATTTTATAGATTTTCTGAGTGTTTTTCAGTCATTATTTGTCTTTGTTAAAACAAATCCTGAGGAAATCATATTGTGAACCCAGTTTTATGATTTGTCTCAAATTGAGTCTATCGTTAAAGCCCTGCTTGTTCTTGGGGCTTTTTCGCTTCAGTCAGTAATAATCATACTATGTTTGATTTGAAAATCAAGAACATTCCACTGTTTGGTATTGCTCTTGAATATGGCGGATGATATAAAAAACATTATTCACCCTCACACATTTACAGCTCTATGAGGGTCATTTAGATTTGAGTGATTGAAAGTCTTCCTCTTCTGTGAGCAGAAAGGCCAAGCTGTTTGGCTTGAAAGTGAAGAAGAAAAAGAAAGTCAACACAGACCTGGTCCTGGCAAACAAGGGAGCTGTGGGTAAGGCCTGGAAAACACACACACACACACACACACACAACACACACACACACACACACACACACACACACACACTGTTGTATTTACAGTGAACCATAGAGTAATTATTCATGTCATGTCACTATTGGTGAGACTAACCCTTGTCAAACAGTCACATGTTGAATACTGCTGTACACAATGACAGTAATTATGGGTAATTTAGGTTTTCAAAGACAACACAGGACATCATTTATCACAGGATGTCATGTATCTAGCGTGCTAATAAAGGTCCTGTGAAATTATTTTAAGATGGCCATTGTCATCTGTGGTTTCAAATGTTTCTGCATCCAACAGGATGTGTGAGTGGGGTTAATGAGCATAGACTCAATCTGACATGAATTATCTGCCTATTATTGACTAAAGTCATTTTAGAGCCGCTTTCACCACAACACTTTTAAAAATACTTTATTTTCAGACACCAACATCCACCCCTCTGTGTTACTGTTGCTAGAGCTAGTTAGCAAGATTTGCAATCATGTATAGAACAACCTCACTGAACGTAAAGCTCCCAGTAAGTGTAGTTAGACAGGTATTTGAAACCATTTATATCTGGTTTTATTGACTTTAATTGTCTTGGTTAAATGAGAAAATAAAATGTGTGTCTGTGTGTGTGTGTGTGTGTGTGTGTGTGTGTGTGTGTGTGTGTGTGGTGTGTGCAGACAGTGAGGTGGAGGTACCTTCAGAAGCATCTTCCCTGCTGGAGGGAGAAAACCCTGAGGATCAACCAGGAACCTCTGCAGTCAGAACCAGAATAGTACCAAACAATAAGAGGTATGAAGCATTCACACTACATTACTGCTGTATACAGTTTCTGGGAGCAATACTGAAGAGGCACAAATGGCAAATTTGGCAAACTAGTCACCATTGTGTCCAGTTTTCTTTCATGTTGGTGGTTATAAAAGCAGTGTCAGTAAGTCAGTGAGCGCTCTGGGTGGCAGTTTACTGAGTAACTGTCACATACAGGCATATATTTCTGTATATATGACTGTTAATAATCAGATTGAGACACTGACCTGGACAGTGAAACTTTCACAGGGCCAAACTGAAAACTCGCATCCAGGACAGCGAAGGCAAACCACAGAGCTTTCAGGTAACAACACACAGAGCACAAACGTATGCTTATATTATTATATTAAACTTCTAATTCTCAGGGGAACATACAGTAGTAACGTTAGCAGTAGTCATCAGAAGAAGTCCCATCCCCCTGTTTGCTCCTCGGTGCGCTCTCTACTTTCCTGTACATAGATTTGCTATGACATAGTCACGACTTATCTTTTTACCATCTTCAAAATTGGCACATAGAAGAGCCTAACGTTAACACATAGCATATCCAAACTGTAATTACAGCAATGGCGTCTGTCACAAGATGCACACTGGCCCCAAAATAGTTTTTCCTGTAAGCTTACATTGTGAAAGAATTGGCTGTAAAAAGGTGGCTAAATGTTTTTTAAGTGTCACAACTCGCCCAACTATCAGATTCGGTCTTCCATTCGGTCCAAAAACATTTAGAAAGTCCATTTAATCCCCATTCAAGTTAGCGGCGGTCTAAACCTTGGCCAGTGGAAGTCTCTAGCGCGCTTCCTCTATGGGCCACACAATGTGGTATCATATGCGGAAGATCTTTTAAGGCTTCATGTGCCACTGAGTAGATTCCATAAGAATGAACAGAGCCCTGCCTCCAATACTGTATTCAGCTCTCCCTTAATACATCCATGGTATCAAGTACAGGAAAGGAGAGGTTCTGGTCGCGGCTTGCTCAACTGTTATTGGAGCATGGAGCAAAAAGGTGCGGGACTTAGGAAGACAACACAACTGACTATTTTTATGCATATAGACAAAAAAGAAAAAGACTCAATAGCACACAAGGAAAATATGTATAATATAATATAGTAATATAATATAACTATAATAATACAAAAGAAAGACTGTGCTTTGCAGAATGTGACATATATCAGTAAATACTATGAAGACTTTTTCAGGCCTAATTGGGAATCCATTCTGACAAAATCTTTCATCTGTGCAGTAGTATGTAACATGTGTCTGTCTCATAGATTGCCATTAACATCACAGAGGCCAGGCAGCTGGTGGGAGAAAACATTGACCCCAGTGTGGTGATTGAGATCGGAGATGAGAAGAAACAGACTTCAGTCAAAGAAGGAACCAATGCCCCCTTTTACAATGAGGTAAGAATAAATAAACCTGAAAAACCCACAGATTTGAAAGAGCACATTTGAATTATCGGTGTCTTTTAAGCCTTTGTGCCTCATTGTCCCCATTATTGTCCCACTGTTTTCTGTCCATCAGTATTTTGTGTTTGACTTCTTTGCCCACAAAGAGGTCTTCTTCGACAAGATCATCAAGCTAACGGTGAGTAAAAAAACTGATGAGTTTTAGGTGACAGCAGGTCTAGCATCGTAAATGATGAATTCAGTCTACATGCTTATACTCTGTTAATCATGTGGTGTTCTTTTCAGTCAGTGGGCCTAATTTATAAAAAATGTTCTTATATTTATACTTGAACTTATTCTTAATTTAATTTCCGACATTGGGCATAAGTTTGACTTATAAAAGATACTGCATGAACAACCTTGCTTACGAAGAAGCCCACTAAGCAACCTACCTTACGATCAGTGATTTCCCCTTATATAATAATCTAATTTGACACACTATTTATAGAACATCACAACCTGTTTTTAGGTTTGGCAATTCCGTCCTTACACCTTTAATTAATAGTTCATAAGACTAATGTAAAGTTCACTACAGACCAAGTGCAAGAGCCCTACATAATTGGCAGGAAGATCATCTGCGTCAAGTCTAGACTTTGCTTATTGGATTTCCATGTCAAAGTAAGGTTTTATAAATAAGGTTTAAAGTCATACTTAAGATCAAAATTTATTGTAAGTCTGTTTTATAAATGATGCCCCTGGTCTGTAAATGAGTATTTCCTAAATATGTCCAAACGTGTCATCTACAGTCATATTCATAAATAGTTTTTTTTTTCTGTATCGTTATGTATCCAGGTGATGCACTCTAAAATGCTGAGGAGTTTCTGTATTGGGTCCTTTAAGCTGGATGTGTGGACAGTCTACAAACAGCCAGGTAAGTCTCTTGGGAAGAGGTTAACAGAGTTGCACATTGCTCTCAAATTGATGTGAAAGCTGATACTCCAAAGTTTAAACCAAGTTTCACCTCTTTGTTCTGATTTATCCTTTTTTCAAGCTTCATGTGTGGGGCAATAGCCAAAAATGACAATTTCTACTACAGTAGTTTGGGAAAATGCCTTGCACAAGGGCACATTGATGACAACTTCACTTAACTTTTCTGCCCTGAGGTCACCCTTCTGTCTCTTTCTTGCTCCCCCCAGGTCACCAGTTCATTAATAAGTGGGCAATGCTGACCAATCCTGGTGACATTGGCACTGGGGTCAAAGGTTATGTCAAGTGCGACATTAGTGTCTCAGCAAAGGGAGACGCCATGCAGCCAGGACCAAAAGCGAGCGATGCTGAAGAGCAGATAGATAAGTATGATATTCATCTTATTTTATTCTTTATTTTAAATTGTAAAAATCTGGCTTCCCGGTTACCTCAGTGGGTAGAGCTGGTGACCCATGTACCGAGGCTGAGTCCTTGCTGCAGCGGCCCAGGGTTCGAATCTGACCTGCGGCCCTTTGCTGCATGTCATCCCCTCTCTCTCTCTCTACCCCCCTTTCCTGTCTCTCTCCAGCTGTCCTATCTAATAAAGGCAATAAAAGCCAAAAAAAACACTGTAAAAATCTAAAAATCCAAATATTCCAAATAATATCCAGGTGAAATTGATATGAAAATAAATAAATTGATAGAAATGTATATACTAATATACAATAGACATGTAGAAAATGTTATATTATTCAAGAAGAACTATTCTCCACTGAGACTGTTATGCACTTGAAATAATTTGACTTTATACATTGTTCTACCATTGTTCATATTGTGTCTCTTTATATGCAGATGTCACTCTGCTATTTCAGGGTAACATTTGACTTATCAACATACATTTTTGTGAATACTTATGGTCCCCAAAGGATGGATCCTAGTTATTTTGGTAACCCTGTGACCTTATGTTCCAACATAAAGCTAACATTTCCCCTTGCGTGCAGTAGATTTTGAGATCCTGCAGGCTGATGGCATGAATTTACTTTGCATATCCATGCACACCAGAGGATGAATTCTCTCTTTGCATGAGATATATTATAATTTGATGTAAGGAATATTGCAGTCCCTTGGAGTTATTAGCAAGGCTTTTGATGTGTAATCTTGCAGTAATGTGTTGTTGCTGATAAACCTAGTTGTTAAAAAGGCTTTATGAATACGTTTTGGTGGGGTTGAAATATTTGCATGTTGCTGTGATGTCCTTTTCCTCAGGAACCTGCTGGTACCAGAAGGGTTTCCCTCTGAGCGGCCCTGGGCTCGTTTCTGTGTGAAGGTATATCGAGCTGAAGGCCTTCCACGGAACAACTCCAGCATCATGGCCAATGTCACCAAGGCCTTCATAGGAGACAACACAGCACTCATAGACCCATATGTGGTGGTTAGCTTCTTCAAACAAGTGGTGGGTTGAATATGAAGTTCACAGCAGCTGTTGTACAGGTTTCTGAATTGTTGTCCAATTCCTATGAGTGTCTCATGTTCGGGAATTCAGTGTAAGTTGTTTTATGCAAGTCAAACCTTTCCTTGCCTCTCAGGGTCGCACATCAACTCAGAAGTCCACAGCAGACCCAGTGTGGAATGAGCAGATCGTCTTCACAGAGATGTTTCCCCCTCTGTGTCAGAGATTAAAGATCCAGGTCTGAAAATGATCATGTGGGAGGGGAGAGACTGGCTTCATGCAAATTTCACAATTTAATGTACAATTACATTAAACATAACAAAAATGTCACAGGATTCTTTCCTTCTCTCTCCTTGTAGGTTTGGGATGAGGGAAGCATGAGTGATGTTGCCATAGGAACCCATTACTTTGACTTGAGACGCATTTCCAATGAACAGGATGGTGACAGAGGTAAGGAGAGATGAAGGTGAGAGGAAAAGACAATGAGGGAAAGAAAAAATGAGAAAGGAGTAAACCAAGTAAAAGATAGGGGTCATAGTCCAGGTAGGAAGGGTCATTATGTTACGTTCTCTCCATCTTTTTCTCTTTCTCCAGGGTTTTTGCCAACTTTTGGCCCTGCTTGGATTAACCTGTACGGCTCTGCCCGAAACTTTTCATTAGGCGATGACACAGTGGAGCTGAATGAGGGCATTGGAGAGGGCGTGTCTTACAGGTCAATGTTAAAAGATGATTATTCAAATATTTTTACTCTGAGAAAATTTGATAGATGAATAATTAACCAACAACAAGCTGTCCAATTCTTGCCGGTGTCAGGGGTCGGGTCTACATGGAGCTGGCAGTGGAGATCCTATCAGGAGGGACGGGTTCGGAGTCCAAACTCACCAGAATGGTCAAACCAGTGAAGGACGCTAAAGCAGGGAAAGCTGGAGGGAAGGATGGAAAGACTCCTGCAGGAGGAGGAGCAGGAGGAGGAGCAGGCGGAGCTGCTGACGAAGACAAAGGAAAAGCCGCAGCAGCAGAGGTGCTGCCTGTGGAATCTCCTCCTGAGGTAAACAGAAAGAGATTTCTTTTAATAATATCGTCCTGGTATCGTCCTAAGGTCCAGTGTGTAACATTTAGAAGGGTCTATTGGGACAAATGGAATAACATTTTTATAGGTATGCTTTCATTAGTGTATCTCCTGAAAACAAGAATCGTGTTTTTGTTACTTTAGAATGAGACGTTTTTTATCTACACAGGTAGTAGGTTTTCTTCTACAGTCCAACATGTTAAACCGCTATGTTTCTACAGTAGCCCAGAACAGACAAACAAAACACTGGTTCTGGATGGGCCTTTCACCTTTTTCATGGACGCAGTAGTTTGTCCTACACGTTTGGAAGGCGAGCAGGGTTCACCGCTAGATTCCACTAAATCTTCCACACTGGTCCTTTGCTTTTCCCCAACACAGAAACATTTCAAAGCTTCAATTGAGATCAGAACACTGCACCATATTTTCTGAATTCATTCAAAATTGAGAGAGAAATTACTAAATCAAACTCTTAAAGGTTTTATCATGGTTCCGCAAATTGTAATTTGGAACTTCAGCTCACTGTTACCCATGTGGAGAAATTAAGTTTAAGCTTTGTGATGAATACACAAAGGTAAAGATTGCACACACCAGATGGGGTCTCCAAAGGATCAAGATGTCATGGAAATGCCTCTTATTATGACATGGATAAATGATAATAAATGGCCAACTTTCTCTGTCCAGCTGAATGCAAACAACAATGAGACGTTTCTGCTGTTTGGGGCGGTCTTTGAAGCCACCATGATTGACAGGAAGATCGGCGACAAGCCCATCAGCTTCGAGTTCTCCCTGGGTGAGTCGTCAAATCCACTGTTCTGAGCTCTTTCTTTGTTGCTTTTGATAGGAACTTGAAGTGGTATTCAGTTGGTTGCAGGGTATTGTTATTTTGTCCACCCTGTATCTATCACTGAAGCCAATCATAAAATCAGAGGAGGTTTAATTCCTAGAACAATGACATTTTATGGCACTTGTTTATTTTCTAGTCTAGTTCCACCCCTTGTGTCATTCTCATTTTAGCATACTACTTATTAATACTACTACTTATTTAGTAGAATTATTGGCTCTACTGTTTTACTGTATTGTATTTTTGTGGTTGGTAACACATAAACACACCCTCTTCTACATTTGTCTCCTCCCTCAGGTAACTACGGTAATGTCTTGGAGCCTGCAGGCCAGGCCAGCCTCACTGCTCCTAGTCCTGCTGTCAGTCGGAGGAGAAGGGTGCTGGACGTCCCAGACACTAGTGACATGTTTGGCACCTCCCCTCCCACCTCCCCGTCTTCCCCCCTCCTACCCAGGGATCCTCAGGACATCGCCATGACGTCTAAGTCTACCACACCTCCAGAAAAACCGCTCATCGTTGAAGGAAACAGGTTGAGTGGCGTTGTTGGATTCTTGATGCTTGAGTCTTGAAAGTTTTTTTTTTTTTCTCTCTTTGTGTTGGGAGTGGGCTTCATTTTTACAATTGCAGTGATTGGCCTTTTAATCATTCTGTGCTTACCTATACTATACTTCAAATGAAGCTAATCTGCATCTAAATACAACCTTGGCAGCACCTACCTATGCAAAAGTGGTTCCATTGGAGGCATGAAGATGTGCACTACTTTATGATGTAGACTGCATTGCAACTGTATTTGTGCTAAAGCTGAGTTTGCACTAGCATAAAAATCAGGCCTTAAAGCAAGACTGTGTAACTTTTAAAGACAAGTCACCACTGTGGCTACAATTTACAGCATAATGATACACTAAACTTTGTTTTCCAAGAATCGTTTTCTTTAGATGCTTTAATGATGACAATTTTGAGTGTAACAGTACATTCCTGACCTTGGGAACAGTATTATGACAACCTTCTCATGGTCTTCCCCACAGATGAAGACAGAGACATGTGGTTGAAAGCTGTGGACCTAGAGTAAACATTGTTTGTCAAATATTGAAAAAACATTTACATGTTTATTTGATAGCATGCGTGCTACATCTATGAGAATGAGAAGACAAAGTATAGCAATATTTAAAGCTAGTTAACATTAGCCACCATAAGCTGCTGGTCAAGTGAGGCTATAGCTGTAAAAACTTGAACTTTCAAAAGTCACTTAGACATGTTTTTAGATTTTTTTTAATTAAAGGGACAAGAACAGTGCTTTTCCAAAGTCTGTGCTGCAGAGGTATTGTAGGTGGGATGCACCCTGGCCATAAAAAAATAAAATAAATACAATTAAAATTGTATTAAAATAATAATTTGACATTAGGCTGGTGATATGTCTTGATGCAAGTGCTCTCTCCTCTCTTCACAGTATATTGCTCTTTATTGTTTTCTACAGTCTCCCACTTCATCGTGCGGATAAATGTGTCTTTGTGTACATTTAGGTACTACATGCATCTGCCCCTGGAGAAGCAGAAGCCGTGTATTAATGTGCTGAGTCACTGGGAGGACAGAACCTACCGACTATACAACTCTAATATGCTGGAGAATATAGCTGTTCTGTTTGTATGTACACACACACACACACACACACACACACACACACACACACACACACACACACACACTCGCTCTCTCTCCTACCATGCTTTTTCCACTGTTTCACTTTTGTCTTTTTACTGTTTTTTCAGTGGCGGGTTCTGATTTGAGAGAACTATCTAACTGTGCATCTTGTCAGTGTTCAGGACTTTCTAACATTACACTGACTCACCTGATGGGAAAAATCATTTTAAGTTGTGGCTTTCAAAAACCTACCTATGAAGAGTTTTCATGAACATCTTAGTAAAATATATATATATATTTCTTGTCTTTTAGGAGGAGGGTGTAGCCAGTGCAGCCGAGTTAAACAAGAAGTCCGATCCAGGGGCGGAGCATATGCTCAGAACTGTCCTCAGAGAATTCTGTATGGACGCCAGGTATTTCACCGGTTGTGTCTCACTGCGACAATGGTGGGACAGATTGAACTGCATTGCTTTACAAAAATCTAATGTGGAAGACAAATCATAAAATCTGCATGATTTTGCTGTGAGGAAGTATATCATTGTGTCATAAGTGAGAAGCTTAGAACCCAAATTTTCTGAAAATTCTTATTGGAAATAAGAATAGTTGAGTTTTTGCACAGTTTTTCGCACATCCTACACACTGGCCCTTTAAAATAGTAGTTGTAATATATTATTATACATTTCTATTCCCAATGTAAATCCTACCCTTTTTAAGTAGATGTAGTTTCAATACTGTATCAATACTGACAACAAAAACACTTGACTAGCTAATAATTATGAGTTTTGCATGCCCCCACATTCCACCTCCCCACTTACAACACGGCATGACATCATATATGATGTGACATTTGATCGTAAGTCCACTGCTGATCGTGTATGTTAGTATCTTCTTGTTTTGCATTTTCCTGCCCAGTTTGGAATTCCCTATCCTCTGCTCACCCTGTCTCTGCTAAAGTCAGATTCCGCAGTGAAGGGTTTTGACAGCTTGTCAAATATGTAACTACAAGTCGGGTATTATGTCAGTACTGTATGGAGTCTGCAAGAACTGTGATTGGTCAACTTGGTCTGCAACATTAATCATTAAACAGGAAGAAAAAGCTCTTAGAAAAAAAAAAAAAAGTAATCTTTTCCTTAACACACATCTTGGAAAGCTGTCTCCACTGCAAAGCTTTTACCTGCTACAATCATACAGTGAACGACAGAATAAAAACAGTTACTGTTCATGATTAAACCATGATACAGCCTGATAATGTACGATACACCTATTTAATGTTCCACTAGTGCCCATGGCTGAAATCTGATGCAGCATACACTGTGACGCACAACTATAATTCCACCATAACTCTGCTGTTGTCCGGGAGAGGGTGTAGACAGACATGATACATGGTGTCACCAGCTGCTAATGTTTCACAGTAGTACAAAAAGTACGGAAGCTGAGAAAGGCTTTGTTTGCAAAAAAATTTTTAATTCCTTTATTTCGAGATCACAAATGACTTAATTGAGTTCCATGAGAAAACTAAATATTGTGTCCTCTTATTACTTATGTTTATCAGAGATCAAGTGTATCATGCATAGATAGTGTATTATAGATGTAGCATTGGTTCAACATAATGGACAATACATGACCTCTTGCAGTAGTGAGCCTGCAAGTTCAATTAATTAATTCAAGTGGAATGTAAAAGTTGATGGTTCCAAACCTCTGTACAGGGGCCCTGAGGCATCTTACTCTGTCTGTGTATTTTCTGCAGGAGTTTCATAGCAGAGGCAGAAGCCAAGTTGAAGGCAGAGCTAAAGTCGAGCTACCTGACACAGCTGGACAAGAAACGCCTCACCATGTGTAAACAGGAACTGGTGGGAAAACCTGAAATACACACAAACACACACACACTGACACACAACAGTGCTCAGATTGCTCAGTCTTTGTCCTGAGTCCTTAGTCATCCTTCTCTTTTAGCCATTTTCCACAAGCAGATCCATGATCTTGAAGTCTTAAAAAGAAAGGAAGTACAATGTTCTGCTGCAGCAAGAGCTTCTTGAGTGGGTTAATGTTTGATTAGCCAACACACGTGAAATGAAATGACCACTTGTACCTCGACACTAGTCCATTTTGTTAAAAATGTTTTTCAGTTAACTGTTTGTCCACAAGCAGTTGTGTTAGATTCATGTAAACCCTTTTTTTGTGTTAATAGTTTGAGCATTTGCACCAAAGATGTGCAGGGATCATGCATCACAACAATGTGTGTGTGTGTGTGTGTGTGTGTGTGTGTTGCAGGAAGGTATGATAGGGGAGGCCCAGTCCTTGGGAGAGAGGAAGAGAAAAGCTGGTGGTGTGAAAGAAATGCTGCAGGACGCCACAAAACTCACACACAAACTACGCTTTCTTGTGGAGGAGGTACGGGACTCACCGTGTGTGTGTGTGTGTGTGTGTGTGTGTGTGTGTGTGTGTGTGTGTGTGTGTGTGTGTGTGTGTGTGTTTTACGCACATCCTGTCAATTTGTGTGTAAACACATCACTTTTGTCTGTATTTACTTTGAACATATAATTTTCTCTACACACTGCAGCCCCAGCACACAGTGCCTGACATGTTTGTGTGGTTGCTCAGCAACAACAAGCGTGTTGCATATGCTCGGGTCCGGGCCAGAGACCTGCTGTACTCCAGCAGCCAGGAGGCCAGAGGAATCCACTGTGGAAAGATAATGACATTGTTTCTAAAGGTAAACACACTGAACTTCACACTGAAATATTGTTCAATGTAGGAAGGCTGTTAGAAATACACACTTTTATACATATGTGTGTGTTTGTGCGCAGCCTCCAGGGAAGCGTGTTGTAGGCTTGTCAGTACAGGCGAAGCTGGATGTGTTTCTGTGGTACGGAACCTGTTCAGAGTCCAACCACATGCTGGACGACCTACCTGCAGGATTCAGCCCAGCCACAGGGCGCGCTGACGCCAACAGCCCTCCAGCATACCTGGTCAGCACTGGTGAGAGACACATTATTACAATCCCTCCATTTCTGTGGTTATTTTGGGGATTTTGGCATTCAAATTCAAACTGCAAATGATGGTACCTAACAGCTGTTGGTTTCTTTCTGACCACTAACCAGTTGAGTTAGGGTTGTACTTTTGTGATATGGGCAGGCTGATGCTTTAAAAACTATTGTACATGTTATGTCCTCTGTGTATGTGTGTGTGTGTGTGTGTGTGTGTGTCTGTCTGTCTGTGTCTGTCTGTGTGTCTGTCTCCAGAGCAGCATCAGTTCCAGTTGAGGTGCCACATGTATCAGGCTCGTGGTCTGATTGCTGCAGACAACACCGGCCTGTCTGACCCTTTTGCTCGGGTCACCTTTATGTCACACAGCCAAACCACAAATGTAAGTGTGTGTTCTGCCAGGACATCAATAAAGTATCTCTGGGATACTGGTCGTCTAGTTACCCGGGCCAGACTGCAGTTTGTGGCTTTCATTTGGGGCTGTCCCCGACTAAAGACTAGTCTTCAAACGTTTGTAATATTAATTTAGTCATTAAAACAGCTGATGATAAATAAGTGGTAAAAGCGGTAATAATTATGAATGTGTCCAGCCAGGGTTGAACACAAGTCTCATCGGATAAATAACTTCAGAATTCACAAAAACGTAACGTTAACAGTTACAAATCAACTCACTACAAAATCACCCCTCACACTTCATTTCTCTCCTATCACTGCCTGAATGCACCGTGTATTCGCCATCCCCGGAGTCATAGTCCTGGTCGGAGCCGCTGTAAATCGCCTGGCTGTTTTTTGAGATAGGACTTAATTGGTAGCTAGATAATAGTCTCATTAGCAGTGTGATTGTGTGATTTGCCTATTTGTGTGTCAGGTGATCAGTCAGACTCTCAGTCCTACGTGGAATCAGTGTTTGCCGATGAGCCGCGTGCTGCTGAGCGGAGATCTGCAGCACATCCAGCAGGAGCCGCCGCGCATTATCATCGAGTTGTACGACGACGACGCACTGGTAACACAATGTAGACAGACAGACGAATGAATTCAAGTAATGTAAAGAATTGAACTTGTGACCTCCTCTCTCTGACGTCACCCTGTCCCCCCGCCATGCGCAGAGTAAGGCGGAGTATCTGGGAGCCACAGTGGCTGTGCCTGAGGTTCGCTTGTCCTCTGACCCATACACGCCTCCAATGCTGCAGTACAGCCCGCTGCACTGCGGCAGCCAGCCAGGAGGAGACCTGCTGGCTGCATTTGAACTGCTGCAGGTCAGTCGCAGTCCTTTCAATAACCATTCACTTTCCAGCATAATGATTCAGGATGTAGAGTGATTCACTGGGATGAATGTGTGTGTAGATCCCACAGTCCGGAGATCAGACTCTGCCGGCGTTAGAGGAACAGGAAGGAGGCATCTACACAGTTCCTGACAACATCAGACCAGTTCTCAGCACCTACAGGCTGGAGGTTTGGCTGCCTGTGTGTGTGTGTGTGTGTGTGTGTGTGTGTGTAGGTGTGTGTAGGTGTGTGTAGGTGTGTGTGTGTGTTAGGACATTACTTAGGCTTTTTAAAAAATGACGTGTGACCCTGTTTTTAAAGATCTTTTCTGGGATCAAGGGTTGTTTCATCTGGTAACTACGGCAGCATCCATTATTAAAAGACACAAACCTGTATGTTCCACCGACATTTTAGGAAAACAATGTTCCTCTTGAGCTGGAGGGGTTAGAGGTACAAAGTTTTACCCCAACAGCACCGTCATGAAATGGGAAGAGTAATAATTTATTTTTGTTTCAACATAACTAACAAAAAATAAACACTTTTGGTCGGCTAATCCACTTTCGTATGTGTGTGTCTCTCCACCAGGTGTTATTCTGGGGTCTGAGGGAACTCAAGAAGGTTCAGTTCCTGTCTGTTGATCGCCCACAGGTACACACACACCACTCACGTGAACAAGCTGTGTCAGATTTTAGGGCTCTGCTTCCTGACAGTCCATATTTTAAGATGTAACCAAATGGAACACTGTGGCTACTGAATGAGCATTTCATCGGGGCAGATTGAGGTGAAGCGAATTGGTTTAATGACCAAACTCCACTCTCCCTTTTTACCGTAATTTGAGGGACGTCTTTTTTTATTATGCCAGCGACAGCGGTGGCATTATGTTTTCAGGTTGCCTGTGCCATTCTCGTGAATGCGATATCGCAGGAATGCCTTGAGGGAATTTCTTCAAATTTGGCACAAACGTTCAGTCGGACTCACAGATGGACTGATTAGAACTTTGTGGTCAAAGGTTAAGGTTACTGTTTTCGGCCATAGCTCAAGCATTTATATGCTAATTATGATGAAAAAAAAACCAGATGATCATAAAATTAAATAATAAACCTCTTCTCTCTTTCTCTAGGTGTTTATAGAGTGTGCAGGTAAAACATTGCGTTCCTCCGTCATTCAGAAGTACAAGTCCAACCCAAACTTCACTACGCTGGTTGATGCCATAGAGCTGGTAAGACCAATACAGCACTTATAGTGTATATACACTATATGGCCAAATGTATCTGTCCAACCCTGTCTGATATTCGACAATACTGTGTTTCCAACTTAGTGGCAGCAGTTTAGGGGAGGTCATTTTATATTTCAAGGTCCATAAAGAAATGTTTTTTCCAGTTTGGTATGGAAGAACTTGGCTGGCCTTTGACCTCAATCCCATCCAAAACCTTTGGGATGAACTGGAACTATGAGCCAGACCTGGTCACCTCACATCAGTGTTGGAGTTCACAACTTGTGGTTGAATGGGAGCAAATCCCTGCAGCCAGCTTCCACAATCTGATGCTGAGCAGATTAATATATAGTGTACTATGTAACTCCAGGGTCCCTGAATTGGATCTGCCCAGGGAATCAGTATATTTATTGAATAATCAATGGAATACATTTTTGTAACATAAAAGTTATCCTCTACTGTCCTGTAGGAGTTACCAGAGAACGAACACCTCCATCCTCCTCTCAGTATCACTGTGGTCGATTGGCGGGCCTTCGGTCGCAGCACGTTGGTTGGAAACCACATTATCAACAACCTGAAGGCCTTTAAATACATTCCACCTCCACCCCTGCCTGCTCCCATACAGATACACAAACCTCCCCAGGTCACCTATGAAACTGTCCCGATACCAGAGCCACAGAGCACTGAGGGTAATGAATGTGTGTGTGGCCAACACATACTCCTTATTGAATATTCCTGTCAGAATAATTAGAAAATGATGATGATGATAACACAGGATACAGTTAGGACTGATTGATCCTCCAGTCCAGTAGACTTGGGCTCGCTTGATCTTGTTCTTGTCCCATTGGAGGATTTATGTTTGTCTCTCGTCCAATAGGACTGCCCCTAGCTGGGGAGACCAGTTCAACTGTAGCACTAACAAATCAGGATTTCCTGGTCACTGTGGAGGATGAAGCCCCACCTCCGGCCCCACCTCCGGCCCCACCCACCCCTAAGCAAGAACCCAGGACAAAAAGGGTGAAAGTTTCTGCATTTATGACTAAACTATGTTCTAATGAATCCCATGTAGCCATCTCTAAATATTATTTGCATGTGTATGTGCATATTTTAAATCCAGGACAGCAGGGCAAAGAGCACTCGTCGTTCCACCAAGCGGAGGAGGCGGACCATCGCTGACGAATCAGCAGAGTCTGTCATCGACTGGTGGTCCAAATACTACGCATCTGTAGAGAAGCAGGTAGCTGTGATTGTTGCGTTTTAGTGCCAAAGATCAAAAAATATTTAAAAAAAATAAAACATGAACATGTTTTTGCGTTCCAGGCCAAACAGAAGGACGGCTCTCCATTCCCCCACGTCTTTGAAAAAAGTAAGAACTCCTCTCAGGTGACATTATTGTCAGTCGTGTGGTGCTCTGTGAACAGTTGGTTTTGTTGAATTCAGTGTCAAAGGTCCATATTAGTCGACTGGTTCAATGCACACTGCTTTGTTAAGCTACAAAAGTGAAAAAGCCAGAAACCCAGGGGCATGTCCAAAGGGGTGCACTGGCCACCGCTGAAATCTGATTGGCCAGTGTTACCCCATTATCCTTCTCTCTTCCACAGGCAAGTTTTGGTGATGGAAAAACTAGCACGGCCATTTTCAAAGGAATCTTTTGACGTCAAGATTTCTGAATAAGAATGGGTTCTACGGGTACCCACGAGCATCCACTTTGCTGACATGCCCACTTAATGCTAATCATATGCAGTTTGGAGCAAAAACCATGTGGTTTTTTGCATGTGGGATAAATGTTTTTGCCTAGTGTATTTGAATATTTCTGCATTCTGGGGTCCCTTGTTTCTGCTGCCCCCAAGTGGCCCAGAAATTGCTGGTTTAAAGTGTATTCAACTAATACAAGTAAATGAACCACCACAAAAATAAGTATAGGTTCCGCAGCCTACTAGATGTTGGCTGTGGTGTTTAGCTTTGTTGTTTGCCAACAAAATGGGTGAAGAAGAAGAGATCTATTTCTATTGTTCAAGGATTTCAGCACATTCTCACCAGTTATTGTTATTAATGAAATCTTTGCAAAAAACTGTTTATATGCATGTTACTTTCACCACTGACATTATCAACTTAGGTCTGTTAAATAAATAAATAAATATTGCGAGTAAATTGGTCTTCGAAAGGGTCATCCCATATTTTTCCCTCACCCACACACACATTGTGCGTTGCAGCTTTGACGTACCAGAGCTTGCTCAGCGTTGGAATAGACTCCTTAGGTAAGGACAAAGACAAAGAGTGGCATTCAGGGACAGCATTTTTAAGCCATTTTGGCCCCTGTTAATTCTGACTTCCTGGGAGGACATCTTCTGCTTGGTAACTTGTTTACTGACAACTGGAGGCTCTGGGAACTGAGTGTATCTTACTGGTTTCTGTGGTACAGCCCTGCACATAGGCAACTCTGTTGTCACGCTAGTTTAGGTGTTGATGTTCTGGATGTGTGGTTCTGTCACTGCATGATCTGCCCTGCAGCTGCCACTGTTACCCTCAGCTTCTGCTTTTTTGCATACTAAGCAGTGGTGATTTTAAGAATGAGTATGGTATTCTTTATGATTCAGGTGGGCAGAAAAGATTTCTGTCAAATTCTCCCTAGAGGATGGACAGCATTAAAATGGAAACAAATTAATGATAGTACTTTTTATACAATATCAGAGAATCCTTTCAATCACTTGTAGGAAGTGACACTTGGAGCATGGAGTTTCTAAAACTAGTTCTAGTTACTAAAAAACTGCTAAAGCTGCAGTAGGTAACTTAACTATAAAACTATAAACTATAAACTAACTATAAAAATAACTTTGTGTCATACTTGCTGAAGCGGTCCCTATATCCTCATAGACGTATATGAGAAAAATTAGGTTCCTTTGACTCCTCCTAGTGCTCCTAATGGCATATGCAAGAATCCACTGGGCCTTAACGAAAACAACCAATCAGAGCCAAGAAAGATAGTTGATTGTTGACTCTCATTCCCAGGTCGTCAAATACTTACACTTTGGGTTGGTGACTTGAAACTTTGGGACCCATAGTGTTAATTCTTTACAATCTGGGAACTTTAACCACTGTCAGAATGCAAATACATGTTTTTGCTTTTTTTCACTACACACCCGTGCTGGTTTTCTGTCAGCGTGTACCACTGATCCCATGTCTTGTTTGTTTCATTAGTCAGCACTTCGGATGGAGACAAGAAGAAAAAACAAAAAGGAAAAGGAACCGTGGAGCCAAGCGTTGGTCTATCTACTAAATTAGCCACACTCAAGGTACTCAGTTCACAAACACTGCAAATCCAATAAGACAGGCAGACACAGCTAACAGCAGTGATGGACTACAACAAAGACAAGTTCCTTAATGGCACTGTTGGTAACACAGCCTGTATAGTCACACTGTGCTTGATTGACCATCCTATCGGTTTTGTCGCATCTGTTAGGATGGGACAACATACATTGCCACCATAGCTCAGATCACATCAACAAGGATATACATATTTTTATTATACCAACATGTAGAATTTCATGTGGGTACATTTTTTTTTTTTTAAACAATCAGCTTCCTCTGGCTCCTCCTACTGCTCCTAATGGCATTCACAGATTATCTGTCACATGTACTTCTGTCAGGATATAGTGAAAGTTTCACAGCAATAATAACAAAAAGTTATTTTTATAAAAGTTACCTACTGCAGCTTTAAAGGGCAATCATTTTTTAACAAACCCTGTATGCTTTTACAAACTCACGCTGCATTTTATGAATTTGTTAACTGTCCGGAGGTCTCAGTGGAGTGTGTGATTCTCCATCCTGCATGAATTGTTTATTTACAGTGTCTTCAATCTCTCTACAGCTGTACAACAAGGAGCTGGAGGCTGAGTTTGGGCCTTTTGACGATTGGGTGAACACATATGAGCTGTTCAGAGGGAAAGCCAATGAGGAAGAGGGGGCGACTGAGGAGAGATTCGTTGGAAAATTTAAGGTGAGACGATTAGGTTGAATGTCCTCTATGGGGGCTACCTGGGAACTACTGACTATATTTTCACTATTGACCTAATCCACTATGGGCATATTCTTCTCTGCAGGGGAGATTCTGCCTGTATAAACTGAGTGAGGACGAGGAAGAGGACTGGGACCAAGCAACTGACGCCGGGCACTTCAGAGTCAGCAGAGGAATCCCTCCAAACGGCCCGGTCCAAGTTCTCATACGGGTTTACATTGTCTCTGTGCGTTCTCATTTTTTAACCTCCCCATGTAGTACCATATGGAACGAGCGCCATTCTGGGCATCAGCCAAAAGTGACAAACACAAAACTGAATGCTGAAATGAATGCTGAACACTGGAAAATAAATTATAATCGTATTTAGAAAAACATTACTATCTCCAGTGTTCCTATATTTTATTTAGACCATTGGCTCCATGCTTCTAACTAGCTAGCCATCTGCAAATCACCACTTAGGCTATCACCACAAAGCGATCAATGCCAGACCCACACCGTGCAGGCAAGCCACAGCCAGCCAGCCAACCAACCCCAGTTAGCCGCTCCTGCCTCTTAGCTATAAGAAAGCAATCAATTGCATTGTACTGTTACATGATTTATTAACCCGCAAACAACAAGCAGTCAGTTTACCAGCCCCAGGAGTACGGATGAATTAGCTGACATCCACTCAGGTAGTGTTTTATGACGTTAGCCAGCTAATGTTAAAACCACAATATCACAATATTTTCCACAAGCTTTACATTAATGTGAGCTTTGCGTTACAACCCGTTCACCCATTGGCAAATACATAAAAATAATATGTACATGCTTGGAAAACACAGGGAGACTGCGACGGATTTCCCACACGAGGTTGAAATCCAGAAACCTCTTCACTAGTATGAGACTGAAGTACTGGTAAACCATGGTGTTATATTATGTAATGTTCTCTTCTGTCTGCCTAGGCATCTAACCTGCACCCAGCTGACCCGGATGGGAAGGCGGACCCGTACATTGTTGTACGGATTGGCAAGAACGAAATCAAAGACAGAGACAACTACATCCCTAAACAGCTGAATCCTGTGTTTGGGAGGTACATGACTGGCTCACTACAACTTCCCTGCATGTTTTAAACCTGACACAGGACCTTTCAAGCTGTTTCTCCTTCATTCCTTCTTCCAGATCTTTTGAGATGCAGGCGACATTTCCTCAGGAGTCTGTGCTGTCCGTGGTGATCTATGACCATGACTTGGTGGGAGGGGACGACCTGATAGGAGAGACTCGAATTGACCTGGAGAACCGGTTCTACAGCCGACACAGAGCCACCTGTGGAATCCCTACGGAGTACAGCCTGTAAGTCTGCTCCTTGTGTTTGTAAAGTGGGGAGAAGTTGAGTTTGAGTTATTTTCCTTCTGGTTTGACTTAACTCTTACTTTATACCTACTTCATCTCTGTGCTCTTATTTGGTGATTTGTAAAAATCTTTCTAAAGCTTTCATTAAAACTCATTTATATCATAATCCTACGAAAACAAGTTACCTTGCCCCCTCTGCACCTGTCTGTCTGATAGTGATGGTTATAATGCCTGGAGAGACTGCCTGAAGCCATCAGAGCTGCTGTGTAAGCTGTGCAGAGAGAACGGTCTGGACGATCCTCATTTCAGACCAGGACGCATCACCGTGGCTGAAAAAGTTTTCACTGGCAAGACGCTCTTCATGCATGAAGGTGAAGACTGGAGACATACTGGCACATTGCTCAGATTTTAAAGATCACCTGATGATGATCTTGTGGTGTGTGGTGGGCAGCTTTAATGATCATTATGTGTGCCAATGTCTCAGACCAGCCGGTGGAGTCCTATGAGCACCTGTCTCTGAAGATCCTGCACCGCTGGGCGGAGATCCCGGCTGTGGGATGCAAGCTGGTGCAAGAGCACATTGAGACCAGAACTCTGTTCAACAAGGCTCGGCCCGGCATGGACCAGGTATACGTTTTAACATTATCTTACAAAGTGCGTCCTCTGAATGAAACATGTGATAAAGTGTTTTTGTAAACTGCCTTCAAACTTCAAAACTCTTCCCCCAGCCTCAATCTTTCAGAATAAAAGCATAATTTCAACAAATCTGATTAAAAATCTGCATGAGTTATATTTCTAAGGACTTCTGTTGTGTAGCACTTATAACCAATCAATAATCTATAGTGGTGTCCAAAACATTGACAACATGTAGGAGAGTAGACTCGTTGTTACTTCTCTCTATTTTAAAGGTGCTGTAAGTGAAATCAGCATTCTATTTTTTCTGAAATAAAACCCACGGACTACTGATTGTTGTACGGATCATTGTCCATTGTTTTCCTCTCTGCATCTGAGGAAGCATCATTTGAGCACTAATACAAGACAAGGGACCATTCTTGATTCTTCTGCTGTGTGTGTGTGTCTGTCTGTGTAGGGTCAGGTCCAGATGTGGGTCGACATGTTTCCCATGGACTTGCCTCATCCGGGACCTTCAGTGGATATTTCACCTCGAAAACCGAAAGGGTGAGAGCTGTCTCTCTCAGCATCTGAAGGCAGAACCTGCTGGCCAATCTTTAAAGCAGCATTATGTAAGGTTTGGGGTTTGTTGGGATTTGGCACCCCCCAGCTGCAATACCACTGTGGTTAATATGGACAACTGTGTGTTTGTTATGATAACATTACTATTGATCAAACTTTGCCAACACCAACAAACCCCGCCATTCCCCCGTCTCAGTTCTGACAACCTCCTCCTCCCGGCGATCCAAAGCTCCTGTGCCACCAGCATAAACACCAACACTCCCCCAGAATCACTGAACACATCCTTAACTTGTCTTTTTATTTTTTATTTATTTATCTTTTTATGTCCTCCTGCCCTTTGTATTTTTATTTATTTGTTTAGTTATTATTATTATTATTATTATGCACCAGGTCCTGGGCATCCAGACAGTACAGCTAACTGGCTAACAGAAGCTCCATTTATCAGCAGTTACTTTACTGTCCATCAGGAAAGCAGCCGGAGGACATCAGAGAGAAAACCATTCAGTTTCATGTGACGACTGCCGTAAAGCATTACACAATTGTTATGACCCAGAGCCAAAAGTTACACAGTGCAAGAACAGGCGTACGGGGAGCAGAGTGGGAAGGACTGAGGCTCCATTCACCCTGTTAGGACTCAGTGTAGCATCAAAATGATAGTTAAGCTGCTATTTTAAGGTAGAACAGTTACATAATGTTTCTTTAAAGTCTTGATAGACCAATATTTGTTTTGAAAAAGGGCAACTAACAACCCCAACGTGTGTGTTCAGGTACGAGCTGCGTATCATCATCTGGAACACAGAAGATGTGATTCTGGAGGACAGCAACTTCCTGACGGGTCAACAGTCCAGTGATATCTACATCAAGGGGTGACTATGAGCTCTGTTTGTCAACTCAAGACTCTGGATTTACTTTTAGTTTGCTGTTTCTAATCAGAAAACAATATATATGTATTCTTGTACAGAAAGAAGGTGTCGGCCTTCTTTTTTCTCCCTTCAATATCCCGCCTGTTTTTCTAGAGACATTTCTATGTAAACGCTGCTACTGTCCGTCTTTCTCTGCAGCTGGCTGAAAGGTTTGGAGGACGACCGACAGGAGACAGACGTACACTACAACTCTCTGACTGGAGAAGGAAACTTCAACTGGCGCTTTGTGTTCCCCTTCAGTTACCTGCCTGCTGAGAAAGTAATGACACACAGACAGACAGACAGACAGACAGACAGACAGACAGAAGCATGATCTTGAATCCAGCTGTTGGGCTAATGTAGGAAACAATTGCCAACGCAGCTGTCCTCCCCTCTCTCTCTGTCACACAGGTCATAGTGGTGAGGAAGAGGGAGAGTATTTTCTGTCTGGATAAAACAGAGCAGAAGCTTCCCGCCATCCTCAGCCTGCAGGTCTGGGACTTTGAGACGCTGTCCTCTGACGACTTCCTGGGTGTGTGTCTGTGTGCCTGCGACTGCTACTCCATGTGTATTGTGTTTGTATATTTGACTGATTAAGTTTGTGTGTGTGTGTATGTGTATGTGTATGTGTGTGTAGGCACGGTGGAGTTAGATCTCCACGGATTCCCTCGGGGGGCAAAGACGGCAAAGTCATGTAAGGCGGACATGTTGACGGACGGGACGGAGAGAATCTCCATTTTCCAGCAGAAGAGAGCGAGGGGCTGGTGGCCCTTCAGCAAGTCTGGAGAGCTGACGGTACGTTCGCGGGCCGAGCCCTACAGATTGACACACACTCATTGAGACTTGGACTGACGTGTGTGTGTGTGTGTGTGTGTGTGTGTGTGTGTGTGTGTGTGTGTGTGTGTGTGTGTGTGTGTGTGTGTGTGTGTGTGTGTGTTCAATCCATCAGGGGAAAGTGGAGGCGGAGTTCCATCTTGTGACAGCTGAGGAGGCAGAGAAAAATCCTGTAGGCCGAGCCCGCAAGGAGCCAGAGCCGCTGCCCAAACCAAAGTAAGAGTGTGGCGGTATTCTCTCTGTGAGGGCGAGCGTTCCTTCCATGGTGTGAACCTCACAGTGTTCAAATCCTGAAGTAAATAGCTGCTGTAGATCTAACGTTACTACAGTCGGTACTAGTGTACTGGGGGCAGGAAGTAGCGAGACATGAGTTGAGACATCGCAGGATCCAAGACCAGAGTTGATTTTGTAGTGATTGTGATGCCACTTTGACTTTGGGTATCTAAATGAACTGTGATACATTTGCTAAATTGATTCTTTGTTTTTTCAGCAGTTAGATGAGAAGAGAAGTATTACCTCTGTATGTTAAGGGAATCTTACACCCTCACTAATTAACTCTGTCTCATAAAAACATACAGAGCTTTTTAAAAGCGTCAGACTATTTGTTGGCCAGATACCGTGACTTCAGGATGTTACTGCTAACAGCAGAGCAAGTCCCCGGTGTGAACTACGGTGTAAAAAAACCCCCGGACTACTGATAAAAACTGAAAAAAATTTCCATTTAAATAAAAAATTGATCAAAATGAGCTTTCAACTTTTATTATTGAAATCAAAAGCAGGACTGGGGGCTCTCCCTGTGCTCAGTTTTTGGTATTTTTATTTATTTTTTTCTTACCTATGGACAGCGCCATGCCGGCTGCTTCCAGTCTTTATGCTAAGCTAAGTCAGCTGCTGGTTGTAACCTTATGTAGCCATACATTTACAGAACAGACATGAGAGTGAATCGATCTTCTCATCAGCAAATAAGCGCATTTAGCAAAATGTCAATTCCTTTGAATATAAAGGGAAGTACCCTGGACTTTTTTAGCCTAGCTTAGCATAAAGCTTTAAGCAGGAAGCAGCTCTGTTGGAGGTGTTTTCCACAAACTATCTTTTTTGCACACTGTGTATTTAACATATGGAAATTCAGACATTGAGGTTTAATGAGTCAGTTGACACGTAGGAACTATTTAGTGACCATCGACAACAATCCTAATTCAAGGATTCACTGTTATTTTATTGTCATTTACATGCAGGGTTTAATGAAATTCAGATTATAGCCCCTTTAAGATAATTGTAAAACAAAATAAAAATGATTATTAATAATAATAATGATAATAAGCTGTGAAAATGACCAATGCTGCTAAATACTACAGAATAAATCCACTTTATTCTCTTTTCTCCCCTCCCCCAGCCGTCCAGACACCTCCTTCTCGTGGTTTGTCAACCCTTTCAAGTGTTTCTTCCACTTGGTGTGGCGAAGCTACAAGAAGTACATCATCATCGCCCTGGTCCTGCTCATCACGGTGCTGTTCCTCGCCCTGCTGTTCTACACACTGCCCGGAGCCATTTCTCAGAAGATAATCAATGGATGAAACACACCTGGACTATGTTCACACTGTAGTTCTGAAGATACGTTCAAAATGGATGGATCACGGATGACTTTTAGATGATGCAACAACAGACAACTTTCCCATTTCAACTGCTCCTCAATAATGCGACCAAGTTTCTGTACAGCTTTTTACTGCTAAGAACGACAGTGTCAGGCTTTTAAAACAAGGAAGTACATGTTCATGACACATTTATTGAGGCACCAACTAGCACATTGCTTTTTGGTCTTTTCACAGGAATCTAAATTATCAGCAGGTTTGGCCTTTAAAGTGTATCTAAATATAACACTTGCATGCTATATGTATGGTGACAGACTTACTGATCACTGGAAGTCCCCTGTTGTGCCACTTCAACGTAAGCAACACGGAAGAAAATCTGCTGTTCTGAACGAAATAGGGCTGCACCATATGGTAAAAACATCATACTGCGATCATTTTTACAGATATTGTGATTAGTGGGAATGATTACTTTTGCATCACAAAATTCATTTTCACTGAAAAACTATTTTAAATCATGATGATGTGAAATTATTTGGGGTCTGTAACAAACAAACGTGTTTCCTTACATCTGGAGAACAAGATTTGTAGACCAGGGCCTCTCTGCAGCACTACAGTACTTCATTATAATGCAGTTTGTCTCACATTTTACCTTTATCATAACATTTCAGTTTCTGTGACGTGCATATGGCTCTGGGTCATGTTGCTTTTTTGATAATATTGCGATTTATTGTGCAGCCCTTGTACAAAACAGCATTGTGTTCAGCTGAAGCCATTACGAGGCTCCAGCTGTCTACAAATACTTAATCAGTAATTGTTTCCTGAGCTTCCAAGGACAGCACAAAGCCATCGTCTTACACCAGCAGTTTCTGAACAAAGCTTCAAATGTCTGCTGTATTATCGGACGTCATCACCCTTCAAACTATTACAGCCCTAGTAGTCCTGCTAGGAGGATGATTACAGTGACCAATAATCCTTTTAAAAATCTGAACCGCTTTCATCGTATTGCCATATACAATATATATTATTTAAGGAAGAGTCAACACAGTGCTGTATTTCACCTGCATTTATTAGACCTGAACAAGCCATCAGGCTTCTCATTACATTACATGGAGACTCAATCTGTGTATCCTGTGAGCTGGCCAGAGTACCAAACGAAAGAACTGTTCTTGTTAAATGGCTTTACAGGTACAGCTAAAAAAATTAGAATATCGTGAAAAAGTTCAATATTTTCACTTCAGAAAGTGAAACTCATATATTATATAGATTCATTACACATAGGGTGAAATATTTCAAGCCTGTATTTCTTGTAATTTTGATAATTATGGCTTACAGATAATGAAAACCCAAAACTCAGAGTCTCAGAAAATTTGAATATTGTGAAAATGTTCAATATTGCAAAGTCATGGTGTCACACCCTAATCAGCTAATTAACTCAAAACACCTGCAAAGGTTTCCTGAGCCTTTATGGTCTCTCAGTCTGGGTCAGTAGGCTACACAATCATGGGGAAGACTGCTGACTTGACAGATGTCCAGAAGACAGTCATTGACACCCTCCATAAGGAGGGAAAGCCACAAAAGGTCATTGCTAAAGAAGCTGGCTGTTCACAGAGTGCTGTATCCAGGCATATTCATAGAAAGTTAAGTGGAAGGAAAAAGTGTGTTAGGAAAAGGTGCAACAGGGATAACCGCATACTTGAGAGGATTGTCAGGCAAAATCCATTCAAGAACTTGGGGGAGCTTCACAAGGAGTGGACTGAGGCTGGAGTCAGCGCATTAAAGAGCCACTATGCACAGACGAATGATTGACAAAAAATATTGAACTTTTTCACAATATTCAAATTTTTTGAGCTGTACCTGTACATGTTTCCAGTGAACTACTCTGCCAGTCAGTGTCTGTCAAACACAGTTTCTCAGGTTATTTCTTTGTGTCCTCATCAGGGACAAGCTTCTTTGTACATATATCGACTCCACAACAAAGTGTAATAATTAGAATCAAACACACACTGGAAAACCCATTCTGTCCAATATTTAAATACGGTCGCAAAACAGAATTCAATCAAATGGAATAACAGTTTCACTTTAAAATATGTAAACATGTACAGGAGAGATAGAGTGGATTTACTTTTCAAGCTTTCTACGTATATACACTTATAAACATTAAACTATAAAAAACAGAATTCAATAATTGAGGTTTCCTGTGTACAGCAAAATGAGTTTCTTTAAGATTCTGAATGTTGTTTTTATGTGAATGCGTTTCTATGAGTTTACGGTGGCTGTCTTGGTCCACTGGTTCCCTTTTTATCATGGAGTAAACTGACTGACTGATATACTTTATAGATATTTCACATTACATTCAAAACTGTACAATGAACCAAAACAGTGAGCTCAGTAACTGCAAGAAGTTTGTATAAAACGAGTGATTAGATGAATTCTGAGCCGATTATTTTCTGTTCATACAATTACGTTATACATATTACGTTTCTCTGCATTATGTATTTTTTAATCTTACTTAATAAATTTAGTGTTTTCTCGTCCCTGGTGCTGGTCCAGTCTTACTATTTACTTACATTTACTTTTCTTCACAGAGGAAACGAAATGCTCAGATATAGGCCTACTGTGTATATTTTATAAGTTTTCTTACACCCCTTAAAATCAAGAAGGCCTTGTGACACCCTGTGAAGCTTAGCGGCCCCCAGGTTGGGTACCCCTGTCTTGGTCGACTGATACTGAATGTTACGTGTATAACAGCAAAGACAAGGTGAGCTATATTGGCTCTGATTATTTTGTCTGTACGTGTGGGTCAGGATACGGTGCTTGTACATCTACCAGGAACTGAAGTACTGCTGCTATGCTGTCTTTAGTGCACAGTCTCTGCTTTTATTGCGTTGTGAATGGAAGTTGAACATTGGGTAAGCTAACTATCTGCAGAAGGATGATGTGTTTGATTAACTGAGCTCCACCTGGCCATCTCACTGCAAGATATCTGCGTCTGTCAGAGAGATACTCTGTTGTGATAGGCTGACCTGAGGGTAGGAAGAGGACGATGATGTCACAGTGTGCTGATGTGGGGCCAAGCTGGGGCCTCTCGGGAGCAGAGAGGAGGAGGAGGAGGAGGAGGAGGAGGAGGGGATGAAGGGGAGAGTGGCAGAGGTGCTGTTTGCTGCTGACATGTTGTTGAGGAAGGTGCTGGACTGAGGTGACGCTGAGCTCTGTCTCTGCTGACTACTGGAGGTGGCAGCTGAAACACAACAGGCCAGTTCTATTGGGGGAAAAAAAGGAGCGTGTGACAAGACCTTCACTTTCCTGCATACACGTGAAAGGGGGGGGGGGTTGTGTGACTGGGAAAAGTGACAAACAAACACTTTGAAAAGCAGAAGTGTCTTAACTCACCACAAGGCACGAGGAGCTGATGATGCTGGCTGCTGATGGGAAAGCCAGCTTGAGAAAGACCTGCAGCGCCACCTAGGACCTAAGAGAGAGCAAGACAGGAATGACAGGCTTTGTCTAAGTGGGAAGGAAGGTTCATTTAATGTAAATGATACTCGAGTCCTAGTGACTCTTAGTCGGTGAGTAATAGTGAGGGCTGTAAGTTGCAGCTCACTTGTTAATTATTTACAGCCATGTAGCAGATACTGTGCAATCAGGTAATGTACGGACCGTGCAATCTTAAGTAGGATCTGCCGCTGTAATGTTCCTGAAGGTGCCAGTTACTAGCTTGAGTGCGGTGACTGACAGGACTCAAATGAAGCTGTACGAGTCCATATTAACGTTCGCTAAACAACTAAAATGAGTCACTGCTTTGCAATGCTTTTGTTAAAAATCTGCCAAAACACAGACACAGAAAGGAATGCTTGCTAAGTAGGACACTTTGTTCTCTCCAGTATCACATCAGAGGTATGATTTTATATTTTTTATTAGTTTCTATTCTCATTTCATTTTTTAATTTTTGTTTTGAATTCGGTTTAGTTTCAGAGCTAGAGCGCGTAGGGCGAGGGTGTAGATTGGAACTGGGTCAGTCTTACTCATCATATACTCTTTTCTGTGATTAAAAACACTGATGTCATTACTGACCTGTGACTGGTTTAGACAGGCCTGCAGTTTTCTTTTTGCCCTCCATCTGGCCACCCTTAGTCTGGTCTTCTCTCGACGCTCTCGCACCTTCAACACACAACATCACATTTCACATTAAACATAGCAAACTACAAGAAGACTTAGATAGAAAATTACTGTTTTATGTGAATATGTCACATAGAGCAGTGGTGCCCAACCTTTTTCCTTAAGGGACCCCTCTTCTATCATTTAATAAACTGACGACCCCTGATTAAATGACATATTTTATATATATTTAATATCACTTTCAACAGTGAATTCAGAAACTGCAAGAAGTTTGTGTAAACGAGTGGTTTGGATGAACTCTGAGCAGATTATTTTCTGTTTAGGGAACATTTGGTAAAGTTCTCTGTATTATGTATTATTTTACAAATCTTAGCAATCAGACATATTGAATAGGCTTCTTACTTGAAAAATTCAGTGTTTTCTTGTCACTGATCCTATTGTTCTATTAGACAGATTACTTTACATTTACTTTTCTTCACAGCAGTGAATGAAATGCTGAGACATAGGCCTACAGTGTATAGTTTTTAAGTTTTCTTACACCCCTTAAAATCAAGAAGGCCTCACATCCTCCAGTGAAGCTTTGGTGACCCCCAGGTTGGGAACCACTGACATACATCACTAGAATATGTAGAATATTTCTGTAAGGACGGCGTCCGCCCTGAACACTAAGGTTGACTAGCCAGATCTGCCAGCAGAGGCTGAGGCAACGTCTTCTCCAGCTCTCTGCGTCTGCTGAGGTTCCGCCGGCGGAGCTCGTTCCTGCGCAGCTTATATTCTTCATAAAGGCTGAGGTCCTTAGTCCAGGGCCGCACCGCCTGGCGAGCTGCGATGCCGGATGGCAAGGCCACCATCGACAGCAGGGAGCCTGCCGACTGAGGCATAACATCTGAGAGCACACACAGAGAAAGGTTTGCAGTGGTCCGGCTTTATTAACAAATTAAATACAGATGGAGAGACGTAGATCCATATTTCAGGTTGCTGATTTAGATAATTAATGTTGGTCTTCAGATACACACACACACACACAGAGCTACTCACAGGTGCTCGGTCCAGCTGAGCTGAAGGCTGTAGTGTGATTCCTCTGGCTTTCTGTGAGTCCTGACCACTCTGTGACTGAACCTTGAGCCTGGAGGAACACACAGACGCATCTATGCTCTGCCTCAGATCATTCTCAACAGTCTGGGATTCACTCCAGGAGTTACTTTGTAATCTGTGTGTATTTTAATTTAGTTACTTTTCCAGAATCCCTTTTAGTGTTAGATCAGAACTCATTCTGTTCTGTGGCTGCAAAGCACTCTGGTCAATTTCCCCACTCCCACTGGTCCCAGCACCAGGGGGCGGCAGCTCTACCAGGACGCCCCAGATTTGTCCCTCCTTCATCGTTAAACGCTGGTGCAAAATAGCTGCTGTGGAAACAAGCTGTTTCTTTCTACCCTCACCTCAGACTCTGGGAGATGACCCTGCTGCACCTGGCAGTCCATGAGCAGGGTGGCCATCACCTCCTGCTCGTCCTCTGGCTCCTCCTTGATACAGATCACCTCCTCCATCTCCTGCTTCACCTGCATCGCAAAAGGAGACGACCAGGACTGTGGTGAGAAATAAGTGAAAAGTATAATACCTCCAGGCGTTTACTTCTAAAGATGTTACATGCAGTTAGGGAGACTGTCCGGTAACAATCTTTACTCAGGTTAATACTTTTAAAATAGGCCAGAGGTCAAAGCAGGAAGCAGAGTGTGTGTCTGTGTACTGTATGTGTTGTCACCTGTGGAGCAGAAGAGGGCAGAGTGGAGCTATCGGCCTGAGGGGAAACATCAGGGGTCAACGAGCAGGCGACTGGCTGCTGCTCCCCCGGATCCAGAGTCAAGACCTCGAACGCTGGAGGGGTCGGGACGGCGTCCGTGCCTTCTGCATGCGGCTGCAGAGTGACGGCCCACTCACAGTCGCCCTGCTGGTCGTCATCCTTGCTCTGAGCTGTGGCTTCTGTGGGACAGAACAAAACTGCACAAACACAGACGTGTTCCGTCTACTTTACCCATGCAGGGATGCTCAATGTGACAACAACGGGATTCTGTCACTCCATGTGCAGCTGATTCTGTTTCTGCTGAGTCATTCTTCATTCTTCTACACACACACACACACACACACACACACACACACACACACACACACACAGCTCTGTACCTGTACTGCTGTCCACAGATTCTGTTGGTGTGTTCACAGAGATTGAGATAGGCAGCAACAAATCCGCCGGGTCGGAGCCGGCGCCCCCTGCATCCAAGTGACAGCGCACTCTGATCGCATGCCTGCTCGTGCTCTGTGGAGAGGTGCATTCTGGGAATACAAACACAGGAAGGAGTTATTGGAGCAAGTATATCATGAATATAAAAAGGAAGCTGAACTTGGTTGGGAACTTGGTTGGAATGGTTTGTGGGCTGGTTGGATCACAGAAGAGACACAAAATGTAATGACATCCATCTCAACATACCCAACTATAGGCTATTACTATATTACTTTTCATATAATAGTAGGCCTACGTTGGTTAGCTTTAGGCATGAAGGGTGGTCAGATGGTTAGGGTTAGAAAGAAATGCCAGGGTCAGGCCCGATCATAGAAAGAGTTTCTTCCTGTGAACTTTACAGTGTTGTGTATTATTATATTTTAGCAGCTAGCCTAACACAATTTACAGTTTATCCTCATTATTTCTGCTTAAAAGCTGCTAAGATGCCTATATTTATCTGGATTTATTTTATTATTTTTAGTCACGTTTTGTTTCATTCATTGATTACAGCACACAGCAAAGTCATACATTGTTGTGACTTGAATAGACGAGGTTATGCTTATTTCTGTGCTTAATAGTTGCTAAAATTGCCATTTTTTATTACATTTTGATCTGCTATGGTCTATTGTCAGCCACCATAACTTAGTGTGCATGTTTTGTACGAGGTGTGCTTTGTTTTCCTGCCTTTGCTGCTGACACACTATGATAATGGGAGTGGTTTATAGCATCTGCAAGGTGGGCAGGCAGGAGTCAGTCACTTTCGTGGTCCTTACCTTGTTTGCTTCTCACCAGCAGTGCCTCAGAGGTCCTGGTCTGAGTTGAACACGATGGCGAGGTCTCAGTGGAGGAAACACCCGCACTGCCTCTCTGTGCTTGCTGGAAGGTGGACGGGTGGATGCGGACCAGAGCGGAGGCAGAGGCCCTCTGCTGCAGCTCCTCCTCCACTCCCTGCCTGTAGTACTTCAGCTTCAGCTCGGTGTAGCGCAGCTTGGCCCGAATGTTGTCGTTCTCTTTCTCTTTCAGGGCCTTTTCCCTCTGCAACGCCGTGACGTCCCTCTTCATCAGCGCCAACTGGGCCTTCAGCTCCTCAAACTTGACTCCGACCACTTTGAGCATCTCAGCCAGCACCGTCTCCACCGCTACGTTCACTGCTCGCTCCACCACGGCACCCATCTGGCCTCGAATCAGCGACACGGCAATGCTGACGTCCATTTTGAAATGACCTCTGACCCAAGAAGAGTTTTACCTGCACAATTACATCACAGTTGATTATTGTTAATCATTGTGTACTGTCATAGAGGACTATAGACACCAGAAAATATTCACAATTTACGAGCTGAAATCAGATAATTTAGACATTTCTTCTTGACTCCAAATGATTAAAAATTTAAAAAATAGTTGGTCACTATTGACAACTAATCAACAAATGGTTGCAGCTCTAAAGGTAACAGAATAGAGAGAAATAAATGTCTGAACCTAAACCTAAACCACATTATGGTAGTGTCCAAAACAAACAGGGACAGAAAAAGGACAACCAGCCCTATGAGAACATAATGATGGTTCAAACAACATTAAAGCAGCTGTAGGTAACTTTTAGTCATATTTGCTGAAACTTTCACTATATACACACTAGTACATGAGGCAGATACTATGCGAAAGGTAAAAAGGTTTTCAGCATTTAACGTTATGTTGTACTGTAAATATGAGGGAGCATAATGTATACTGTGAGACACACTGTAACTGGACACTAGAGGACAAAGCATGAGGCAAAACTGGTGGCACAGAAACATCTTGGACCCTGACATGTAGCTAGTTTACCACATTTAATTAAAGTACGGCAATCCTCCAGTTCAGAAACATTAGCTGACCCATTTCAGAGTCTTTAGAGCCGAAACAAACAGGTCTGTTTACGCTCCTATTAACGTACAAACCGCGGTACAGACGCACTTTATGAGCTAACGTTACCCCAGCTGTCTGTCCGGTGTCTTTACTGGTGAGACTGTGCTGACTGTTAAAGTACATATTGGTATGAAAGAGAAACAATTGTCACTTACCGCTTATGCTTGTTAGTTTAGCCAGTTAGCTGAATGCTAACATAGCTAACGAGAAGCTTCTAATGTAACGTTACCATTAACGTTAGTTTATTAAGCGCAACTTTCGTAACGCTGGCTAGCTATTCTTGAATTTATTTGACTATTGCATAGACACTCCATTATTAAACAAGTAACAGAAACATATTTTATTGTTTTTATAACCCGAACAGTAGCTAGTGTAGTTTTGCCATCACAACGCTGCACGGGGAAGTGTTTCCGGGTCGAACATCCACGGAGAGCAAGGTTTGTTTATTGGAAAGATGATCACTCTGTCGTTAAAATGGCGCCTCTTCTTCTTTCACTTCGGTCCCGACCGCACACACTGATTTGTCTGAGAGACTCTATCGTGAATTTGTTCAGGGCTGAAAGTTTGTTAGGGAAAGGTCATGTCAGTAACAGTGTGTGTACATCTGTGTGCTCCGGCTTTAGTTAGATATCCAATTTGTTGTCTCAAAAAATCCACTTCTGTTTCAGTTTACTGAAAGACTTTAATCACACGGGTTTGATGGCATTTGTTGATATTAAAAAAATCATCATCGATTGATGCCAGCCATACTCTTAAGGCAGTGGTTCCCGACCACTAGGGGTCGCCAAAGCTTTGCAGATGGTCGCAAGGCCTTCTTGATTTAAAGGTGTCTAAGAAGAAAAAAAAACGAACAGTATCTAACTTTGAAGAACTGAGAACAAGCTGTATTCACAGAGCCTTCACTCTCTGATAAACAAATCAAATAAGAAGCCTATTAAGTGTGTATGATTGTTAGATATTTTAAAAATACATAATACAGAGGATTGTGTTAAAAGTAAGTAAAAACATCAGGAAAACTGGTCACTGACGTAATATTCACAGGAAATAATCTGCTAATAATTATAATAATACTAATAATTCATCTAAACAGCTTGATTGACACTATCTGCAGTTATTGTGTTCACTATTTGGCTTCATTTGATAGTTTATCAGTATAAAATATGTCACTTGTTGCCATTCTCTTTATGTCCAGAACTGAAACTATGTATGTTTCTGTTTTGTGGTGCACTAGTAATCAAGCAAGAGTGAAAGTAAAGAGTAAAATAGAGTAGAGTAAATATTGTGTATATGTATATACTGCATGTCAAAATTATATCAAAATTATAATCCAAACAAACATCAAATGCATTGACATCTATTCTAAAACAAAGAGGGATACATGATGTTAAGTACCCATATGTGCCAGTCTGATGTATGACTGGACTTTTCCATAATGTCTTACTTTGTCTCACTTGCATTTTTGGGTCTCCACTGTGGTGCGGTTAGTTTAATTACTCTTACAGAATAATGATAAATCACACAAAATAAAGAGAAATCACAAGTTGACCGCTTCTACTGTAACAGTTGAAGTAATCTCTCAAAAACAACAGCTATGCCGTGGTCATTACGCATATGTATAATTAAATGACATGAGTTGAGTCTTTTTGATCATTTTACTGAGGTGTGAGGCATTTGTGTGGAGGAGCAGGCCATGAGGCTGACGGGTCCTGCAGTAACTAGCAGTATGAAGCCTGGCTGTAGCCAGTCCTGTTCCCTGAGGCCTGTTCACCACTGTAGAGGTGGCACACTGGGGAGGTCATAGAGGACCTAATGACACTCATTACAGTGAGCTTACATCACCTCTGGGCTTGTGTGTGTGGCCCAGTGGTATTAAAATGGCTGTGTCCAAATTAGTCTGAATGTGGGTTGGTTACTTCACTGATATTTCATCATGGTCACTACAAACAAATCTCATAAAGTAATCCTTCTGACACACACACACACACACACACACACACACACACACACACACACACACACCACACACAAACACACACACAAACACACACACACACACACACACACACACACACACACACACACACACACACACACACACACACTCCTCATGGAAAACAATTCCTCACACATAATTTTCAGGATGCATTTGAAACAGCAAACTTTATATAAGGTTTATATGGTCACATGGTTTATAGTTACTTGACCAAAAAGCCCTCCAAACTTAGTATGTTTACATTCTGAATCTATAAGCTCCTCCTTCATTTCTTCTTCTGTGGTACACCGATCAGTCATAACATTATGAGCACTGACAGGTGAAGTGAATAACACTGATTATCTGGTTCATGGCTCCTGTCAGTGGGTGGGATATATTAGGAAGCAAGTGAACATTTTGTCCTGCTTCTAACAGTTAGAAGCAGGACAAAATGGGGAGTGTGAGGATTTGAGCCACTTTGACTGTGTTGGCTGCATCTGCAGGGGTCAGTACCTATTAAAAATGGTCCAAGGAAGGAAAAGCGGTGAACCGGAGACATGTCATGGGGGGCCAAGGCTCATTGATGCACGTGGGGAGCGAAGGCTGGCCCATGTGGTTCGATCCAACAGACGAGCTACTGTAACTCAAACTGCTGAAACAGTTTTTTTATTTTAAAAAACTCCTCCTAGAGAATTTATCAGAACGACTTCATATTTGGTCAGTGCAATCTAAAGACATTCATGATTAAAAGTTGTGCTGTGTTGCTTACACTTCATTGTGATCATATATTACTGCTGTTAGTAGCAAGGTTTTAGACTTAGACTTAGACTTCACTTTATTGATCCCTTTGGGATGACTCCCTCAAGGAAATTGAAACACTTGTATGGAAAATAAAAGAGGTATAAAAAAATACAGTATAAGATAAACAATAAACTCTTAGCTAAATTTAGAAAGTAGAGATAAGAATAAAAGTAAAATTAAATTAAAGTATAATAAAATAAATGTAGAGAACTGTACAGAGGATAAATATAGATAAATAAAGATAAATATAAAGAACTGTATGTGGCATTGTGTTATTATACAGTGGATAAATGACATTAGCAGAAATTAGCAGTTAAATTATTGCACTTAAGCGGTGGATTAAGTTATTGCACAAAAAAGAAGAAGAGTGTCCAGGTATGTATGTGAGTCCCTTGGAAAACACAGACTGACACAAGGTTTGATTTTTTTAAATATAATTAAGTTTTAATATTGATAGCATTGGAACAAATGGGAAATGACATAAAATTACCGAACTCAATTATTATTGATATAAAAAGTATTTGACAAAAAGATGCACACATAGTTGTAGTTACATGGCCCCATATGGTTGATCCTGTTTGATCCCATGCTTCTTGTGCTTGTCATGTATGTTTGCCTGCTGAAAGTTGAGTATTCATTTTTTTGGATAAATTTTATTTCACCAATTGTTTTCCACTTTTTTAATGATCAAAAACCAGTGAACCATTTCAGCATACAGCAATCTTGTGCCACTCATCCATCCTTCATGATCTCAAATGGAAGTTAAAGCTCAGGTCTCAGCTTTAGTTGGAGTTAAACCCAGTAGCTGTAACAAAGCGAAATAAGAGTAGATCCACGGTCTGGAGATACCCTGGGTTTTCTCCAGACCTCCAGCCTCCATCACGAGACCCCTTTTAAAAGCCAACTGCTGCTGCAACAGCGCCATCTGTCTGCAGGGAGAACAGAACGAGAGACAGAGCTGTATAATGGACATTTCATTTCTCAAATATTTATACTTGTTGCAGCTACCATCTTCCCTCCTCCAGAAATGTAATGTTATACCAGTTTAAGAAGTACCACTGCATGGTATCACTCAAATTGACTTGACTCACTTGGTACTGTTCTTTTTTTGTCTTTCCCACTGACAAGAGTTCTAGATAGTAGCTGGTAGTTTTTGTGGTACAAGCTGTCAAGGTTACAAGTGAGCTGAGCCAACACTAGAAGGGACACACTGCAGACCTCTGATTGGTCAGAAAGAACTGTCGCTAAGACAGGGGACATCCTTTATTGTTCCTGTGTTTGTGTCACATTTAAGATGATGTCATGGCAGTGTCGTGAAGAAACCAGCCTACACTGAGGGAGTACTAGCTCCAATGGAAAACGAAATCAAGAAAAGTACCTGGTACCAAAAGTGAGACATGTTGAGCTGTACCATGCAGTGAAAATGAGGCACTATATACCTGGCAAGTAGCTCCGCCTGCAGCCTGGTTTCCTCTGCGACCTGCGAGGCGGCCTCCTTTTCTATCCTCTTACGCTCCTCTTCTTTGTTCCTCCTGTCCTCCTCCTCCTGCTCCTTCCTACAGAGGTACTCTCTCCTCTCACTCTCATCCATCTCCTGTAGCTTCTTGCTCTCCTCCTCCTGCCTCCTCTCCTCTTCCATGCGCACCAACTCTAGTTCAGCTTGAGGGAACAAAATGTATGTATGTATGTAATGTAGTTAACATTACTTCACCGTAGGATTGACTTCCGTCGTGTATATTACGGGATCATGCCGCCTTGACAATTTAAATTTGGCCCTTAGTGAATCAATACTCTATCCTTTAATCCTTTATTATTATCATCACAGCAGCGTAAATTCCCGAGTGCAAACACCAGAGAAGCCCTGAGTGTTTTGTACCGCTCCATCAGCGACCTGCAATCTACACATCCAGAGGGGGTTTTCATGGTGCCAGGGGACTTTCAATCAATCAGGCCAATATGAAAACTGTATCTCCTCACTTCCACCAGTAAGTGAATTTTGCAACAAGAGGTGAGAATACGCTGGACCGGATTTACAGCAACATCAAAGGGGCATTCAAGGCAGCACCCCGCCCCCACCTCGGCTCCTCAGACCATCTCTGTGATGCTAATTCCTGCATACAAGCCTCTACTGATCAGGAATAAGCCTACTGTGAAACAGGTGAGGGTTTGGCCTGCAGGAGCCATGGAAGCGTTACAGGACTGTTTCGAGCACACAGACTGGGACAAGTCAGCTGCTGAGGACATCCAGGAGTATGCTGAGTCTGTGTCTGGATACATCCAGAAATGCATGGAGGATGTTAGCGTGGTCAAAAACATCACCACACGGGCCAATGAGAAACCCTGGATGACGAGTGAGGTACGCGCAAGGCTGAAAGCAAGGAACAACGCTTTCAAGTCTGGTGACATGGTGGCTCTGGAAACAGCTAGAGCCAACTTGAACTGGAGTTTAAGATTAGCTAAGTGCGCTCATGGACAAAAAGTACAGGATTTCTTCAATGACCCCACTAACCCCAGACAGATGTGGCAGGGCATCCAAGCCATCACTGACTACAAAGCCCCACCCTCTTCCTGTGAGAACAACACCAGCTTCCTCAATGAGCTAAACAAGTACTTTGGGAGGTTCGAGGAACTAAACACCACCACAGCAACAAAA